TTGTCATATCCTTAACAACAGAGGTTGGTACAAGTCTTGAGCAGAGACAAAGGCCTTTGTGTGCCTGCTAGCTTTGATTTGTATCACACAGTACCACAGAGATGGTGTTTAAAAATGTCATCACTCTTAATGAAGCCTGGTAGCGACAAGCTTGAGTAAACACAGCCCTAGCGTGCTCTGCTGCTTGGAGGCAGCACTTCCTCAATGTTTGTTGACGTGTTTGTCCAGTGTCAAAACTTGCCAACACTGGATTCCTTTTTAAGAATGATGAGAGTTTTAAAGATCTGTCTGGCAGAGGTTTTCAAATTCATTGCCAGTACGAGGACAAGAATAAAAGAGAGAAGGAAAGTGATCCCAGGAGGGAAAGTTTTGAATTCTAATGTTTAGTTTCTTAGACATGGTAGGAAGCTTGTTCCTAAAAACAGAAGCAAGAAAGGAAAACTGAGCTTCCTTAAGAAACATTTCGCTTTTATTACTTCCTTCTCATCAATTCATTCCTAGCTTCTCTTTTCCCTGAAAAAGATGGCAGAAATCCACAAGTGTGCAACAAATTCTGCCTTTCTTTACAAGGGACAGAGAATTCTTTAAAGCTCCTCAGAGCTCACTACCGGTTAGTGCACGACAATCCTATGAGTTGTCTGAGGTCTGAACTACAAACTTTTAGCTTTTTTTTTCTTAGCCAAGAGAGAAGACTGAATACTGTAATGGACTCCCAAATGGATAGCTGGGAAAGTGTCAATGGTGCATTTATACTCCAAGTGTGTTTATTTTAATTGACTGCATATATTTTTCATGTGTTTACATTACAAAACTATACTGTCTAATGCACTGTACCTGAAAGAATATTCTCAAATAATGCCTTCAACCAAAATGGTTGAAAGTTGAACAACTGACCAACAAAAATGCAGATTCTTAAAAACCTTTATAGTTTATTTTGCTCTTTGAATATCAAACTAAATGAAAGCCCAGTCTTCTTAACTGCATATGAATATAAGCAAACAATTCAGTGAATAGAAAAAAATAGTATCTAGTTATATCATAAATTATTAATTCATTGATCAATTAAAAAATTGATTGTATCTCATAGTGACTGTTATTCTGCTTTCTTTTTCAGGTGCATGGGTTGTAATGTCCGACCTATTTAATCTTAACTCCAACCTCACCTCTGACCATCTATTATTTTCCAGAAGATTTTGATTTCTCCATTCTTCTACTCTTCTAAGGGATCTGTCACAGAACAATTACATTATATCTTCTCCAAACCCATTCATCACTGCTAGTCAGCACACTTCTGCTCTTGCTCTTGTGGAGTTGGGATATCTGTGTCTCTTAATATCTACAACACAATCACACTTGTCCCTCTACATCTATATTAAAATAGTGACTATTTTTTTTTTCTCCAAACATCATTGTCACTTTTTCAAAAAAGTTCATGGTATCATTTCCTAAGACAAAAATTTTAATTTTTGTTGGTGAATTTGTCTAATTTTTCTCTCATATCTTTAGCATTGCCTGGCACAAACACAGTGAAAAGCAATATTTATACATAATGGTTTGCAAACAATTATCAGTCAAAGAATTATTTGTTTAAATAAATTTAAAATAATTTCTAATTAATAAATTAAGATTTCTAAGAAAGTTTGTGGGCAGTTTAAGCTCTCTGGATAATTTTTCTGACAACTGAGGTACAGCCCAATTTTTCAACTGGCCAAATCTGCAGAATAGTTTTACTAAGATAAATGCTCTTCTAAAACAGAATAACAAGAAAGAATGTTTACTTTAAATTTGTTGTTGTTGTTTTTGTTGTTATCATCATCATCATCATCATCATCACCACAAATGAGATAAAGACCAGAACTTCATTGTGATAAATAAGTGGCCCCAACCTGCAGCTCAGGAACACATTGTAGATGAGGGCTTTGACATCATTCATTATCTTGGATAAATGAAAAGTTAAAGTTGGGGCTGTCATTATCACAGCTGAGAACTATGGAGACAGTAAATGTCCAGCAGTTTTTTAGCTGCTCAACATTGTTGATGACAGCCTACAAAAGATCTTGTCACCTGAACTAAACCATGCATAAGAGCTGAACAGAGCTACAGTCTCTGTCTTGGGAGTCTATGATCTAAGATAAGATGGGGCAGAAACAATATGTTTGCACATATAAACAGTATTTTCATTAGAAACATCTATGGTTTTGTTCATAGTCTCTTTTTGTAAGTAACTGCCTGTTCCTAGTTGTTATCATCGTCAATACGCATCCAGTACTGTTGGAATCCTCAGTTGTTTAAACACTGGCCAAAAAGCCAATTGCTTACACTATAATTCTGACTTTCTGACTTTCCTACTTACTGTGAAATGATTAAAAAAAAAAATAAAACAAACAAAAACATGTTTCTGTTTTACAGCATGAAATACATATTTTTTAAGACACTTATGGAGTGATTGTCCCCATGGTAAGGATTACAGCAGTCTGCCCAGGCAGAAATAAAACTTTTCTTGCATGCAGAACATGCAATACTAGCCAAGGCCTTGTGCTATCCTATTTTTTTTTTCCATAATGATCAGTATATAGATTCAAAGATACTGTAGTTTACACCCTCAGCTGCACTACATGACCATGAAAAACTAGGACAAAATCAGGCAGTCAGTCAAATTCATAAAGGTATATTAGTGATTGAAAGCATCAAGAACTAATGTTTGAATTCATAGGCTTTACACTAGGCTCATTTATAATCACTATAATATTCAGTTTTAAAATTTCAGATTTTTTTTCTGCAGTCTCACAAAAGATTTCTCATTTCCCTATACTCATAGTTATCTAACATCTTAAGGGAAATTAAACCTTTATGTATGCTCAAACATTTTCTAAAAGTGATAATTTTGCTTAGAATTAATTCAGTTTGATAGGGCAAGAGAAAGGAGAAAACAGGAAAACAAAAGCCTCCAACAGTTCTTTTTACCCTGCAGTTTTCAATCTCATTCAAACACAAAACCAATAATTCTCAGTAATTCTTACAGAATTTGCAGATAGAGACAAGGACATGTGCCTTTAAAGATACTCACTGGCCAATAGATGTTTGATTCCAGGTTGAAGCTGTATTCAGTCTTTGTCTAAATATTCTAGTTGATATCAATTTATTTATCTTGGGTCAACTGGTCCACAATTTCTCTTTGGGGTAAAATATTTTTTTTTTTTAATCTGGTGCATCTTACTTACTTTAACCTAATATCTACTTTCATTCTCTCATGCTGTAGCTACTGTTGTATTTGCTTTTTTTTAGGTAATTCTAGCCAATTATCATATCTTCATCACACCTTCCTCATTAGCGTGCTAGCTGCACATATCCAGCCTATTTAAGGTATTCTTGTAAATAATTTCTTCCAAACCATTAAGATTTGTTCTTTTTCTGGAAGCTACTTCCAGTTTGCTGACATAATTTGAATGAGGTGCCTCAGCTTAAATAAACTTATTTCAGGGACATCTCACCCGTACTCATCTTGCTTGTCAATTCATATTGTAAGCCAAGTATTCAGACATATTTGATATTTCATATTCGTATTTCCTGAACACATTTGTGGTAACATGACCACAAAAGAAATGGGAAGACTGCTCAGGTAAGCAAAAAAAAGTATTTTACTCATAGTTATGATCATCTGGGATGGTAGTTGATATGAAACAGGGCAGTGCTGCCTATGAGACATATGCTGTGGTGTGCTATGTGTTAGATGTATCTTGCAGTAAACTGGAATCATCTACCTTGTTTATCTAATGTAGCTGGCTGTCTGCAAAACTTGTCTGTGTCAAACTATATTACCATGATTGTCAATGTAAAATTAATTGACAGGCCTGGCAACTGGCAGAGCTATCCCTTCAGGGCTTGGAGGTTAAACATCTGTGTGAAGTGATGTTTCCTGAAAAGCTTTACATAACTGTAGCAATATTCTGGGCAGGCATTTGATGTTTCAGCTGATGGAAGTAAGCAGTGAAGAAAGAGCAAAACACAGACATTTGAGTGAGTGTGCTGGTTTATAGCTTACTGACAACCTCACCCTCATACCAAAAAGGGCAGAATGCTCAGGACATACAGACTTTTCAGGTCTATCTTCATGTCTCTATAGGATTGCACTTGATACAAGGTGCTCATGACCCAGACAATTTGTAGAACCTTTTACCTGAGGAGTCTTTGTCATTAAATACTCATTTCTCACACATGGGTAAGAAAGGTTAGGTCAAACTCTTAACTGGCAGTTTTTATCTGTGAAGAATAGTAAGAGATAGAAAGCAGGAGTTTGCATTTTTTTTAAACTTTATTATTGATCTCCTGCAGTTGTAGACCAGTATCTTAGCCAGGAAGCATGATGGTTTCTTCATTTGAACTGCAGATTTTTTCTCACTAAGAATAGTGGGGTTTTTTTATGATGCCGGAATGTGTAACATTTAAATTTGTAAACCATTAATAAAATGATTGATTTTGTGTCGGAGCTCTTGTTTCTCCTCTCTAATTACTATTCCAATTTAGAACTGTACTAAAGATCATACAGATAGTAAGACAGTTCATCATCATTAGTGTGCTGTGATGCTGTTTTATATACACTTCAACCCATATCTACTTTGAGTTAATAAAAGGAAAAGTACACTCTCTTCTGAAAGCCCATTACTTCAGAACCAGAGGTAGAGCCAGGAACCATACCTACCCTCAGAGTCTTACCTTGAGTCTTACCTTGAGTCACAGAATTATAGAATCACACAATGGTTTGGATTGGAAGGGATCTTAAAGATCAGCTCATTCTGAACCCCCCTGCCATGGGCAGGGACACCTCTCACTGGACCACATTACACAATTCCCTGTCCAACCTGGCCTGGAACACTGCCAGGGTGGGGCAAAGGGATGATGATTCCAGGGATGAGGCATACCCTGTTGAAGGTCCCTTCTTGAGTAACAAGGAAAGCACTCTGTGTGTTCTGACCCTGTACCAAAATCTGATGACATCCAAATAATACAATTGTGTTTATTTCTGAAACCATACAATATGTTTAGTGCAACAAGGTATATGAAGCAGTAGCATCAGTACACTTCCTCATCCATTCTCAAGTCAGAGAAAACACACAGCAAAATTGTTTGCACCAAGTAATTATTTTACATTCAAGACCGTTTCAAGTATCAGAACTACTGTAGAAGTTTTGAGCTTTGAGCTGAAAAAGAGTCTGAATTTGAGTAGTAAAGATGATTCAGGAATTTATAAGTATAAGCAACTTAATTTGACTATATCAGGGTTTGTATCTTACTCATACACACTCACATTTTGTAAGTCTATGATGGCTTCTCCCTAAAGGAAGACTCTAAATGTCCAAAGTCTCAGATTGCTTTTTTTGAGTAAGTCTCATTCTGTTCCTTCCAAGTCTTGCTGCAGTCTTAAAAGGTTGGCATGCCTTCCTCAGCATTTGCAGTTCATCTGTTTCAGCTTGAAGATCACTCAGCATCCCATCTTCCCTGGAGAAAGGCTTCTGATATGAATTCATGTGGGACAGCAAATCTTCCCATCATTAGAATACATATTTTTATGGAGGCAAAACAGATCATGGATTTATAGCCAAGACCTAAAGTCCTAAGTGAGATGTCTGTGGGAAAGCAGAGTGGGTTATAGTTAGCAGAAAATCAGTCCAGCCATCAAACTTTATTTATATTATGTTATTACGTTATATTATATTGTATTATATTTATTATATTATATTATATTATTCTCACTGCAAAGACAAGATCAACCAAGTCAAATCAACTAATTAAAACCACAAAATAAAAGGCAGTAATGGACATGAAATTAGGGTTTAGTGTATTAATTTTTTAACCTATTGTTACTTCAAGACAGCCTTTCTGCTGGTTTCCATGTTTATAAAAACCTTTTTATTTTAAACCCCTGAGCATATTGGCAGTAACTATGTGAAAGGTTGTTAATTTGAAGCACGAAGTAGTGACTACACTAGGGAACACAGTATGAAATATTAGCTTTATGCATATGGTGGTTTCATTTATTTGTATAACTGAATCATATATATTTAGTAATCCTGAAGAAATTGTTATTTTAATTACCAAACTAACAAAGTACTTCTGCCAAAAAATCTTTCTTTTTGTTGATTGAATATTAAATAGGGCTGCAGAGGAAGAAAGAAAAAACCTAAAAAAATCACTGTCAATTGTCAGTGCCTAATTTCTTGGTATCTAGAAAATTCATCATTTTAACCTATGCTGCAAGGGACATATGAGTACCAAGGGTAGAAATTAAAAATAGTCTCCCTACATCTGATCTGGCTAGCAGATGGCTCTGGAAAACCAACATAGAAATGTATGAACATATACTGGAAATTCTGTGAGAAGATGTGATATCCCACTGCAAGCTCAAAGAAATCAGCTTTCCAGCACTTGGAATCTATAGCCTTGAACTGGCCTTTCTTATCTAACACCTTTCTAGCCAAAGAAGGACTACCTCTACTTATTGGGTGGAGACTACAACGACAATAAAAGATCTCGGGAAGATGATTCAAAGCATCTAATTATCCTTTTTCTGTAATTAATTCACCTTCTGTAGAGGAAAAATGATTTTGAATGGTCCATTTTTTTTTTTTTTGAACTAAAAGTAAGTAGATTATTTTCTTCTTTTTTCAAAATGCAGACTTATGGGCATTTTCAACTACAATTGTTAACCTGTAAAGTAACCAGCAAAACTCAATCTGTTAAGTGAAGCCTTGCCTTTAGAAACTCAGGAATCTCAGTACCTAAATACTAATTTTTTTGAAGAAACTTGTTGCATCTGCCATGTAAGGCAGGTTTTTTTTTTTTTTTTTAATAAGGGCCTTTGATGGTGAAATCGAGCCACAAAATGCATCAGAAAGCCTAGGAAACAATTTGAACTGTGAAAACAGATCAACACTTGAACACTATCTATTTTGGAAAAGTAACTTGATGAGTGATAGGTGAATTTTCCAATGTTCAGAGGCTTGGATTAACAGAAGAATTGAGTGATATTCTGGCTGTAGTAATTTGAATTTTCTGTAGCCTGTCTAAACAAACTAGTGTCTTAGAGCCAAACTCAGACTCTGTGAACTTATCCCACTGTGTTCATTTGGCTGCTGCTCATCTGCACAAGAGTGGAGCTTAACCCTGCGTTGGAAGGTGTTTTACTTTCCTGCTCCCTTTTAAGAATAACTATTCCTGAAACAGGGAGGGAATCACTGCATCCTCTCTGCCTCGCTGAGCCAACAGCGCCTCCTGCCAGCTGTGGACTGCTTAACATGTGGGAAACTTTCAGTATTTTTTGGTGGGTTTTTTTTTCTTTGTGGTTTTTTTATGGTTTTTGTTTTGTTTTGTTTTGTTTTTGTTATTGCTGTTCATTTGTTTTGTTGTTTTTTTTTTTTCTGTTACATAGACATACATATTCTAGTAAATAACTGCTTTCCCTTTTCCCATATTTTTGCCTGGAAGTGCCGTGATTTTTGAAGTCATGATAATTTGGAGAGAACTTTTGTTATTGTCTTTTCACCCCAGGAAGGCTTCCACGTTCCTTGGCAGACATTTGTCTTTTAAACCAAGATAATATGAAAGGGGGTACTAAATCCCTGTGCTTAACATACAGAAAACTTTCAGAATGTGGCACAACTGAAGATTAAATAAAGGGCAGAAGTACCCACAGCACTACCTTACCAGTTCTTAATTCTGCGTCAGTACCCTCATTCTAAGTAAAAAGTCATCAAAGTATTCCCAAATTGAACTCCTCTCAGTTGCATATAGTAGCACATTTTGGTCCCCATATGCCTTGGCCAGCATCTTTCTGTTTCTTTCTCTCTGTCTTCTCCTCTTTCTTATCCTTTCTTCTCTCTCCAGGAGTGCTGTTCACATGAGAGGCACACAGTCTTGGTTTTATGATCATCTTTACTTCAGTGTAATTGTTTCAACGTGCTCACTATAGCTTTAATGTTTCAAGCCATAAAATTTAAAGACTTCAGAGAATTCACCTGAATGGAAAGAGTTTGTTATGGTTGAAAATGACATACACTGCTGTTAATTTAAATAAATACAAATAAACCCACAGAAGTGTTGTCCAGATGGTTTGTTTCATTAGCAGAAAAAAAATGCGGTGGGTCACAAATCCAGAGTTCATTAAGATTTTAAAAATCCATTTGCTAAATAGAAAATACAAAAGCTGCCAATAAAAGCTTTTGCACAGCCACAAGAATACTGCTTTCAAACTTCTTGAATTTTTAATGCATTTGGGAAGAAGGGGGAGTGGAGGAAGAGAATTAATACAGATGTTTCAAGGTGAAATATTTCAACATATGGATTCCAAACTGTAAGCTCTAAAGCTTCTGTGTTTATTGCAGAAGCATGGCAGTTGTGTCATTCTTCATCAAATACCAAACAATATATTTTTGAATCTTCCCCTTTGTTTTTTTCTTTCCTCTTCTTATTATCAATTTTTAATGTTTAAGCATAACTTTTACTATGTACCTTTTAAATTCTCTAACATTAAGACTATCCATAAAGATATATTTTACAAATGCATTTTTTTTATATACTAGAACACCTTCTACTATAGCTTCTCAGAAAGATATATTCTTCAACTATACTTGTAAGTCTGGTGGCACAAATCCTGATGCTATATTCAAAAACAAAAGTTAGATTTACATTGGTGTTGCTTGATTTTCATCAGTACTTAATATTATATTAATATTAATGTTATCCCTTAATATTATCCCTTAATATTAATATTATCCCTTTTTGACTTGTGCAGCATTTTCACTTGAAGTTCTCTCACACTTTTGAAAGTAACGTTGGTTGAATGTAATATTCGTTGTTTTGTTTTTCCTCACAGAAAATGTATCGCATTATAAACTTCTGTACATTTGACCTTACATTTAAATCATGCTCTGTTTCAGTATGTCTGTTTCCCAACTACTTTTGTCATTAAATATTATCTTTTTTCCAGATCATTGCATGTCAGATTTTGTATGACCTGAGCTTTTCCTAGGATCCGTCTAATTTTATGATATTTTTGGCCATGATACTTATTTATTCTGGTTTATTTGATGTATTGCTTCATTTTCCCTCATATTGAAAAATTCTTACAAGTTATTATAATTTGTAAATGTAACTGTTAACTTTGAATTTATTTTTCTAAACTTTTTTATGTGTGTTACATAAGACAGACACTGTTACTGAATACTACAAATTGAAAACATTGAAAATTTGCAGGCAACCAAATTGTTTACAGATTTAGTCAGATGTTCTTGATTTGGGATCTTCCTACTGTTATGAAGGCAGTGTTTTAAAAGACTGATATGAAATACTGATATGAAATACTTATAGCTTCCTAAAATATTCTATGGTTACACACATACCTATATATGTACATATGTGTATATGTCTTTATGTTAGTTATTCAGAAATATGCACTTGTGACAGGAAAGATGGCAAAATAAAGAGGTATGATGTTTTAGGGGGTTGGCAGTTGACTGAGCAGTTATACCCAAGAAAAATAGAATCAGTTCATTAGACATGGACTGATGTGAAGTGGTTTATCACACATATTCCCAAAAAAATTAATGCTCATGAAATTGTTTCTGTAACAGAAATTTGTGGGTTTGTATACACAGATGTGTGCATGCATTTGCCTTAAATATTTAAGGAAGGTCAATGAAAATCTGAACTACCTATTCACTAATCTGACCTTCTAATATAATGGCAAGCATTTTCCCTCCTTTAAGAGAAGAATATGAAGGTGGGATTTCTAGACATCATATTTCTCAGAAGGACTGGTGTCATTATCACAGTCTTATTCCTTCCTTTCCTTCCCCTAAGGCTTTTTATCTCTGTCTTGTTTACCATTTTGGTCAAGATGTTTATATTTTAGGCAAAATCCTGATCTTACAAAATTGTAAGAGGTTCCAGCAGAGAGGTAAAATGTTCAAATGCCTCCCTGTTGCAGAAGTACTCAGAGCTTATTTTGCTGTTAACTTCATTTTATATTGAGTATACAATCCTTAGATAAATGCAGAAGATGTAAACATCAAAGAATATCATATCCACATCAAGCATAAGGTAATAGGCTTTATTCTGACAGTTTTCAGCTATTTAAAAGCTGAATTGGATCTTTATTGCCACACTTTTGTTCATAATACCAAGTAGATATAATTTCCACATCCATATACCTGATAACATAGATGAGATTTTTTACAGCATTTTCATAACGTTTAGATCTTATTATGTGATATATAAATATTTCCTTGTTTTGTATGAAATAAAATTATTTAATACTCTCCTGAAGTTAACTAATTAATTTACCTGTGGGATCAAAATGAACATGTATTGATTTAATTCCAAACTGTACTATTTCCAGCTCAGGTATTTATTATGTACTATTTTTTTAGCTTCTATATGAATGCATAAATATACACAGGGAATAAACTTAATAAAAATGCAATATTTGTTTTAGCTGAGCCCTGAAAAGCAGCTATTATCTTAACTTCAAACATATACCAGACAAGTGTTTTGAAAAGCAATGTTAGCATTTTTCTTTATTTTATAACAAGAATGTCAATAGATATTTTGAGAAAAAAAATGTATTTGCCAAAAAATCTTTTCTTAGCTAGAATGAGAATATGTCCTGCAAACAAGAATTCCTGCTGTCTACTGCTATTAATAAGTAATTAGACATATCTTGACTCTTCCAGACTTCTTCCCTTTGCCAATTAGGCTAATCCCTGAAAGTTGTTCTACAGGGGCATCCATTTCCTGATCAGCAAAGAAAAAAATCTGCTGAAGAAGGGGCTCCTATATTAGTCTGGTGGGATATCCTTCTAATGAACTTTGCCATTATTGAAGCTGTAATGTTTGATGAAATCTGACAATTTGGAGCAGAGCCTGCCCAGCTAATGATATGGGAGAAGAAAAACAAGGACTTCTCCTTGGTCTTACAGAATGTTCATGCTTATTCACACACACCCCAGCTGCATATAACTAAGGACATTCATTGTTCTTGATTACTTTTGTGTATTGCTTTCAAAAACACACATATTTCCCACATATTCAGCACTGGTTTGGCAGCCTAAATAGTTTCACCAGAGCATGTTATAGGACATTGAAGTATTTATCTTGCTCTATTAATATTACTTAAATCCTGCCGGGAAAAAGACATCCCTGGTGGTAAAACATTTGACCAGCCTTCAACATATACATACATAATATCATTGGCAACTCTTTATCACAGAAAGATTAATTTTAGGATTTATATTCCTGAGCCATCTGAGACAATGTTTTAACATTGAAATATACATAGTGCAGTAAGATAAAATAGAGCCCAACTGCAGAAAAAAAGATCTTTGCTATGACCCTTGCTATGACTTGACTTTACTCCATCTAAGACTAAAACAGTTCCTTTGACCTTCCTTTATTTCCATATTTTCGTAACATTCCAGTGTTACTCTCACTTCTTCCAAGTACCAGTATAACCTTGGTACCCCCAAGTACCCTGTGTGTAACCCCTTATATAGAGATATATAGATTCCTTCTTTTCATTTTTCTTTGTCTTTTTTATAATGTCCTATTTCAGGTACATAGGAAAAAAAATGGGGAAATATACAGAGGATTGTAATACAATGTGCAACATTTCTAATATTTCTCAAGGTAAATGTCTCAAAATTAAGCTAAAATCATTAGAAAAATCTCACAATAAATTTTATTTAATTCTTTATCCTTCTAACAGAAGAAAATATCACAAAAAAATACCAGTGAACCAAAGGGAAAATGCACGGTATTCCCTCTTGCATTCATTTTTAACAAGAGTTTTGTCTCTTTTCCAGGTTTATGAAAGCACATAACTTTAAGAGAGAAGACTGATAAAGCCTGGGACTGGGCTAACCTCTTGCTACAGTAACGCAGTTCTGAACTGAACCTTCATCTGTGGCTGACTCTGAATCAACATTAATAAAATGCTCCTTTGCAGAGCTAAAGTTGTTCAGACTTCAAAATGTCAAAGAAGCCATTGTAAAATTTCACAAATATTAAATAGATAATATAGATAGATAGATAGATAGATAGATAGATAGATAGATAGATAGATAGTAGATAGATAGATAGATAGATAGATAGATAGATGATAGCTAGATTGATAGATAGATGATAGATAGATGATAGATAGATAGACAGATGATAGCTTGATTGATAGATGATAGATTGATAGATGATAGATGATAAATAGATAGACAGATAGACAGACAGATAGATATATAGATAGATGATAGATAGATAGATAGATAGATAGATAGATAGATAGATAGATAGATAGATGAAGTGAATTCACTTGGGTCAGATTTTAGAAGTAACTATGGAAACTAACTTTTCTCTGAAGATTTTTTAAATCTACTTGGTCATGATTCTGTGCCATCTAGTCTAGGTGAACCTGCTTTAGCAGGGGAGTTGAAATAGATAATTGCCCAACATACTTTCCAACCCCAGCTATTATGTGATTCTGTGATATTTAAAGACTATTTGAGGAGAGTAATTTTCAGATAACAATTCAAAAATTTTAAATGAGATGGCAATTTGTGTTTTTCTTAATTGCAACTGACATTGGTCCAACTCTTATACATAAATCTGTTTATCTTCTAATCAGGACACTGATTATCTCTTCATGGGTTATTTAGAATTCAGGAAAGGGCACAAGCAGGAGAAAGGGTTAATCACAATGTGAGAGTACTATTACAGAGGTCCTCAAAAAGAATGGAGAAAAAAACAATAGACACAAATGTAGTCTATATTTAAAGATCCATAGAGTTGCACTAGCATTGCAGGTAGTGCATTGGGCCATGATACTTGCTGCTCAGATAAATCACATTTAAAACTTCTCTTTGAGTGAAGCTTGTTGCCTCTTTCTTCCTATTGCATTTCCATTTAGTTCAACTGCCCTAGTCTATTAAGAAAGAATGTTTCTAAACAATGGCAATTAAAAAAGAAAAAAAAAAAAAAAGCTGACTGCCAGGGAATCTGGAAATCTTCCATTTCTTCTGTTCCTTAGACACTTCAGTGCAATCATTCCAGTCCACAGCAACTAACACAGGAAAAAGGAAAAATACCACACATTGACTAGTTGTAATTAGAAACTCAAAGCTGAACCTGACAATGATTTGACAAAATAAGAGCAAGAGATGTTAAAGAATCTCTGGAAATGCAGATGGAATTGTCATGTTTGTTTGCACTTCTTAGAACTGTTTTAGAGCTTAAAAAGTCAGTGGTTTGGGTTTTTGTTTTTGTTTGGGGTTTTTTATATATATTTCCTTCTAGAATTTTACCTAGTGTCCTTTTTTTCCTAATTTAATGCAGCATTTTATGTTCTTGCAAACATTTTATAGCTCTAATATTACTCTAATATAATAGATTAAATACCTCTACCAAGCAGTAAGGTTCACTCAAGTTGTATCCAATATTGTCTCCGTAACATCTCTCTGGAAACTCACCTGAAGTTGCCACTTTAACAAGTTATATCTATACTGTTGCACTTGGTTTTTCCTCAGCTAAATAGTGCCTGAATTACAGAAACTGTTTAATATAGTTGGCATTCAGCAAGTATTTAGCTGCAATTAGTAGATTTAGCATTTCTTTTCAAGAAGTGTGATTTTTTGTTTTGGAATTGAACATGACAGCCTGCCCAGGATCAAACTTTAACTCAGAAGATAACAGCTGCCATGTGAGAAGCACGTTTGTAGTTGCTTTTTAACATCAAAAATTTGCACTTCAAAGTGGCACAGAAAAGAAATCATTGCCAGCTGGAGGGACAGCTGAAAGATAAAGTGATACATGAAGAACTGTTGATCCCAATATGGTTTTCCTTAGAGGGGCAATATTTCTATAGAAAAAGAAATATAGAATTGGTCAAAACTGGCCATTTTACAGTGGAATTTTAGTAAAATCGTAGAATGTGATTGGTTGGAAAGGACCTTAAAGATCACCTACTTCCAACCCTCCTGCCATAGGCCAAGTCCCTTTCCACTGGACCAGAGGATCCAAAGGGAAAATTAAAAGAATAATCTTTGCTTGTACAATGTCTGAGAGGGATTGATGTCAACACACATAGTACTCAAACATTCGCATGTCTCATAATCATTTTTACCTGGAAATCAAAAGGCAACAGATGAAGAATCACAAAGTTGTTTCTTTCTGGAAAAAATAAAATAAGAAATGAGCATATGTACTCTGGGTTAGCTGCTGTATTTCAGTAGCATTGAAATACAGAAATGAAAGATGCATTAAAAATTACAGTATTTTGGGTTTTGAGATAACAAACACAGCAGTTATAAAATCTGTAACTAAGGAAAATACCATGGGCCAGATTTCTGAAGGTAATTAATAGAGATACTTCAGTAGCTCAAAGGCCAGACTACCACTGAATTGAGGATTATCAGTCTTACTGAAAATTCTACTAAAATTACACTCTAGGCACATAAATTTTCAGAAACTTGTATCTACAAATCTGCAGAAGTTTGTATTGTGACTTTTTGCTTAGGCAGTAATGGAAAAAAAAAATCCCACAAGAAAAACCCTAGGAGCTGGTACTATAAAAGTATCTCTGCATTTCTAGTACTTTAGCAGTGCATTAAAGTTTTATTGCTTTATTTTGTTTTGCTTTGTTTTGATTCTAAAGATTTCTGCCTATTTCTGGATGCTTATTGCATTGCATATGAAATAAAAGCTGATATAGCCAGGGAAGTATATTTTTCTGTGGGATCTTCTTGTCCAAAAGACTACCTTTTCCTAAAAATTCTGCTGAAAAATTTCATCTTATGTTTCAGATATCCTTCTTGAATAGTCACTTAGCTATAGGTGATAGTCAGTTATAGATCAATCCTCCAGAGCTTTTGCTAAAGATGCGATTTTGTTAACTTAAAAGAAAGTGGTAGCATTATTAGTCTGCTGTGGACCCACTACTCCAAAGGCATCGGAAAGTATTTTCTGTCTATTTTGTATAACTTTTGGATATTATTCTAAAATATTAAAATGCAAATTTCATAAAATCATAGAACAATTAAAGTGCAAAAAGACAGTTAACTTCATTGTGTCCAACTGAACTGCATTTTTCTGAAATCAAGAGTCCCAAATTCAAATCCCTATTTTCAAACACCTATTAAAAAAATGATGCAAGAAAAATTCTGTGAGGCGCTAGGGTCCTGGATCACTGCGGATAACTACAGGATCCGGTCCGCAGGCGCCTCGATGGTTGGAGAAATAACGAGCTTCCACCGAAGGCGGGTGACTCACGGGTGGCTTTATTCCCAAGGGTTCAGGTGAAGGAGAGCGAGGTGGGGGACGAAGAGAAGCAACCGCTTGGAGGGGTAGCCAGCTCCGAGAGCCCCGAACCAGGGGCGGGACAGGGATTATAACTGTAACTGGGAAGGAGGGTCAGGGTACGAAACAACCAACCGGGTGAGGGCTTGAGGGTGGAGTCAGGGAAGAGCGACAGGGCAACAGCCAACCGGGATAGGGGGAAGGAGTGGTTTTGGGGGGAGAACCAATGGGGATACAAAGAACTTAGAACTTTCTAGAACTGGGGAAGGAGTACACAATGACTGACAGGAACGGGGGAAGGGATAACAAATAACTGACAACCGGGGGAGGCGGGAAACTAAATGTCTGTTGCCTCCCAAGGCAGAGCAGGGGGGCCATCAGTCACACCCCCTCCCACAATTCTGTTTTTATTGTGAAGTATTGTATGATAATTAATTATCCCAAGAGGGGAATGAGCTTAGAAATAGAAAGTTAACCAAAACAAAACTACTAATATTAAGTTCTAAAAACTCTTTATGGCAACTATATTTCCTTTCAGTTATGCATTCAAGGTTTATTACTAAAAACAGTAAGAGCAATAGAATTTAAGAGGGACTAAAGCTATGTAATCAGTTATTAAGCTGACAAAAAAATACTCTTCCTACAATTTTGAAACCTAGCCAAATTCAGCTCAATTGTACCCCTTTTATACTCCTTGACTGATCAACTTCCTTCAGTGCTATTAAGCAAGGTCTTCCTGAGTACTAGCATTATTTTTATTTCTTGACTCTCTCCTTTCCTGGTCACTCTTCACCTATGTAAAAAAATTATCCTTTTAAAGAACAGCAAGTGTTCCTTTTCCTTCCATCCTCCCTTTCCAATTCCTTGCTTTTGTTCTTCCAGGGCCTTTTTCTACAGAAAATGTGATGCACAAGAACAATTCGCAGTCAAATTAGCTTTCCCCTGCTTATTGTTTCAATACTACTTTCTTACCTGACAAGTGAAATTCACTCCCATTACATCATCCCTTGGTAAAAATCCCAGCAGGGGCTCTGAAGAGCTGCTAATACAGTGCCCTGACAGCAGCTCACTTTAGTGCCATTTTTTGTCTTTGATATCACTCTGGCTCTTCAAAGCTCTTTTTTTTTTTTTTTTTTTTGTTTGCACTTGTTTAAGGTGTAGTTTTTTGCAAATTACAGAGCTAAAGACCTTGTCTATATCCTTTTATACTGCTTTTCAGTTAAAACAATGTTTTCTCCGTTTTGACACCCACTTATAAGTCCTGCCCTACTTATCCATTTACTTTTCCCTGGATTTTGCCCTCCCTTTTAAAATTTTTCCATCAGCTACTTCTACTTCATAATCTTTTTACAATCAAGTATAATCCAGTTTCCTTCATTTTCAAGGACCTTAACAACCTTGAAATACTCAGCTACTGTACCTTATTTATGATAAAATATCATCTCATACCTCAGAAGGATGTACCACTATTTGCTATATTTTCAAATAAGCTTCATGTACCTCTCAGACATGGGAGGAGTTTCTCAGAAATATTTTCAGAGCAGCTAACTGATTCCATCCTTCATCTGTTCCCTTAAAATTCTACATCATGATGCTTGTGGAAATTTTTGGTATCCATTTGGTGATGTACTCTCTCCTACTGCATATTGATTTAAAAAATATTATCTCAGAGATTTTTTTTTATTTATCTTCCTTTTATGACTAGTTTTATGCCTAAAAACCAAGTTAATAATGACAGGAATTGTCTTTTATCCCTGTGTTTGAAATGTTTTGCAGCTTGGATTATGGTTGTATGAAAGCAAAACTCAGCTTTGCTTTTAGTATGACATGAGAGAATATTATTCTTTCAGTAGATTGCATTAGATCTTTGATATTTCTGGCTGTGTAAAAGTAGAAACTGTATGAATTTAGAAAGAGCTGAATCTCAGCTTTGCTTACATATGTTTTCACAGCCACTGCTAGTGAATTTTTTAGTCATTCCCTTTCTTTATAGCTATAGACAAACACTTTCATTGTCTTAATACTGAAAATATTTTTATATCCAGATTTTTCTTCATTTAGAAAAAAAATTGTTCCTACTTCTTAGTTAATTGGGGTTGTGATAATAAAAAGGTACAACAGAGGTAATAAAAGTGTGACAAATATAAGCAGCTTCATACCTGCCTTCAGACATAAAAGTCATAGAGAATGATATATTCGAGATACTGCTGGAACACTGATTTGTGTAATTTGTTTATAATATTGTTATTGTATCCTTCATTATTTAAAAAATACAGTCTGACTTCACTTGATTTCTTGTAACTGCTGCTACAAGTTGGACATATGTTTCCATTGCACTGCATGATGTAAGAAATGCATTAGGGAAAGAAAAGTAAGGGTGAATAAATAGTAAGTACCTAACTTTAATATACATGTGCAGCACGTACATTGCACTCATCAACAGGCAGTGTCAGGCCACGTTGCTGTGCCCAGCACGAGTTCAAGGTCTAATAGGCTGTAGTGATGCATTTGGCAAACAAGCAAATCTCCAAGCACACACAAGAATATATTGAATGTAGTCCAAGTGATCAAACAGCATCCAGTGGGCAAGAACACTACACTAAGTAGTCTAGCTTAGATCAAAATGAAAATGGAAACAAACTGAAAATCTTCAACATAAGTCACTTTTCTCAATTCTTTTGATTGATGTATCTTTCTATTTTCTACTATCTGACATGCCAACAGACACATGTGGCTTTGGCAAAGCCTCACCAAATGTGGGAGCATCATGTTCTAAGCAAAAACCACAAAAAAGCAACAAAGAATTTTATCACAGTAGCATCAAGGTTGGAAATAATTTAAACTGGATGTTTCACAGAAAACAGCACTGAATCAATTTTTTTTTTAACTGTCTGCAGAGACAATATGAAAAGATAGCAGAGACCAACTTAGCACATCACCAGATGAACAGGCATCAGAAATTATATGCAGAATTCCTACTTTGTTTTCCTAAAATGGGATTTTGGTGGAATTCTATGGCTTCATACCAATAGATTCATCTACAGTACCTATATTTAAAAGGTAGACTAGACTTAGGGGTTGAGTTCCAGGTGCAAATACTAGCCAGGAATAAATCTTCCACTTTATCAGTGTTGTTTGTTGTCACCATGAGATTAACTTCAACCTGCTTAATATATCCTTCTAAGTGTTCTGAAGATCTATATTCTGAATCCAGTTCAGTACATCACAACTATGCCCTCACAATATATGGATTTCAATATACTGGATAAAATGTTCTCTCTGCAAATAAGATTCTTGTTTTAATAATTTTATCCATAGGCTGAAAGTCTTTGGGCCCTCATCTCACTTACTGAGAAAAGAATTTAGCTGCTTGTCGACAGGATATTTCAGATAGTCCACAGAACTGAACAAGGATATTTTGCATCTCATTTTGTATCTGAGTCAATATGGATCCAAGAATGGTGGAGCCAAGGGCCAGAAAGAGTGATGAAACACTGAGCATGGCATGTAGAATCACAGAATCATAGAATATGAGTTGGAAGGGACCCATCAGGATCATTGAGTGCAAATTCTGTGCCTGTGAAGGACACTTCGAGTCACACCATGGGCCTGAGAGATTGTCCAATGTCGGGGCCAGCTGGCAAGACCCCAGCAGTGTGAAAGTCCTTTTCCCCCTAGCCTGGCAGCCGAAGAAGAGGTTTGGAATGTATGGAGTTGGGTTTTCAAGGTTGTTTATTTTTTCTTATCTATGATAGTTTCTCTCTGACCTGCCAAGGCCCAGCTAGTACAGAAGCCATAGCAGTCTCTGCCAAGTCCCAGGTGTCTCCCACATTATATACTCAAAACTACATGTGCCATGTTTACAGTTCCCGTACCAATACGTAAGATCTATGTTGGACAGTGTGTCCCTATCCTAAACCAATAGAAAAGTGTCACTAACATACCAAGACATGGAGGACAAGAAGAAGGAGAAAAAGGCTAAGACATGCCCAGATTCCTCCATCTTGTACCCCTGAATTATATTCTAAAATCCCCAAAATTCTATTTGCCCACCCTGTTTCAATTCACCTACTACACTACTCAAACCCTTTTGGCTATAATTCCTCATATAGAGTCGGCAGCCTCTCCCACAGGTTAAAATTGAAGCCACAAGTGTTTTTGACTTCTTGCCAAGGTGTCCAAGCCCCCTGCCAGGGTCTCGAGACATCCAGGGCAGCCAGAGGAATGTTCTGGACTCCGACAGTCCAAACTCTTCTTGAACTCTGTCAGGGTTGGTGCTGTGGCCACTTCCCTGAGGAGCCAGTTCTAGTGCTTAGCCATCCTCTGGAGGAAACACTTTTTTCTGATATCCAGCCTATACCATGACTCAGCCTCATGCCATTTCCTTGAGCTGTGTCAGTGGTCATGAAAGCAGAGGTCATACTTGCCCCTCCACCTCCCCTCATGAGGATGTTGAAGACCAGTGGGGTGGCAGTTGCTCTCAGTTTCTGCATTCCTCCTGGGATTATCACAGATAAGACAGATAAAACTTGTAAGTATTTTCAGACAATAATTGTACAGAAAAAAAAGAACAGCAAATGTTTCAATACCAATAGTTTGTGTGAGAATAAATAAGAGCACAATAAAACCTGTGCAAGGTCTGCAATTATTTCCTAACAAGTATATCCTGGAGCTGCAGAGAACAGAAGTACCCATATTCATAAATGTTTTATTGTTGGTACCACCAACACACAGACATTATAAGGCTGTCATGCCAAATGTACTTCAGTAATTTCAGAGAAGAAAGAATACTGAAGATTAACATCTCTGCATACATGTTTGCATTAAAATGAAGAATACTGATTTCTAACTAAATGAGAGATTTAAGTGTAATAACTGGAAACAGATCACTTAAGAAGTGTAAGGGGCACTGCAGTCAGATTGAGAGGCTTCTTAGATTTTTTTGATTTGTTACCTCTATTGGATTCACATACTTGAGAAAACAGGCATTTCTTGGATAAGTACATAATGTAATGGGTGTACAACTGGCACAAAGTGTTAAAATAAATGGAGTTACATCAGGCTAGCACTTGTCACTAGTGGGGTTATGCAGAGCTCCATCTCAGGGCTTCAACACCTTCTTTTAATGACCTGGATGAAAGACTTGAAGTGTTTCTAAGTTTACAGATCACAGAAAATTTGGAAAAGCTGTTGACTCTTTAGAAGGTAGAGAGACCTGGACAAATCAGAGGTGTGGGAAATCACCAGCTGTAATAAGCTTAGCAAAGACAAGTGACAGATTCTGCACCTGGAATGGGACAACCCTGGATGTACGGACAGACTGGGGAATGAGAGGTTGGAGAGCAGTGCTGTGAAAAGGGACCTGGGGGTTCTGGTCAATGGCAAGTTGGGCATGAGTTTGCAGTGTCCTGGAGCAAGGAGGGCCAAGCGTGTCCTGGGTGACACCAGACACAGCACCACCAGCCAGGCAAGCGAGGGGATTGTCCCCCTCTGCTCTGCGGCCTCGTCTGAGTCCTGTGTGCAGTTCTGGGCACTGGAATGGAGATGTAAACCTAATAGAAAGTATCCAAAGGTGTTGATTGGGAAGATGGTGAAGGTGGTGAAGGACCTAAAGAGGAAGTCATAAGAGGAGTGATAAGGTCAGTTGTTCTGCTCAGTCAAGAGGAGACTGAGGAGAGACACCACCGCAGCTGTACTTCCTCATGGGGGGAAGAGTAGGGGCAGGCACTGACCTCTTCTCTTCAGTGATCCAAGGAAATGGCCCAAAGTTGTGTCAGTGGGTGCTTAGGCTGGTATTAGGAAAAGGTTCTTCAGCCACAGAGTGGTTGGGCACTGAAGCAGGCTCCCCAGGGAAGTGGTCACAGCAAGTCTGTCTGAGTTCAAGGAACATTTGGACAGTGAACTCAGCTCATGGTGTGGTTCCTTGGGCTGGCCTAGGCAGTGCCAGAAGTTAGACTTCAGTGGTCCTTGCAGGTCCCTTCCAGTTCAGGATATTCTGTGATTTATCACATCTGAGAAAGAAATAAAAATTGGTTCCAGAATGAGTGGATATAATCTGATGTTATATTTACTAATCACATAATAGTAGCTTGCCTATTTTATCCAAGCTGTCTTCCTGCAATGAGAATGGTAAGCATTTCACAGTAGGAAATTCTTTCTTTCATGCTCTCATCAACTCTCTGATCTTATCATAGTTTCCTGTTGAACACTGAGACACATAAAGGGCATACTCTGCCAGAACAGCAACCTACTGTGGCTTTCTGACCAGAATTGTGATCAAGTGTGCAACAGTTGGAAATGATATGACAGTGCTACTCCTGCCAACATATGATTATGTTTTGATTTCTTTATTTTTTCAGTGCAGAGGTGGATATTTTTTAAAGCACTTTTATTTTACTTTGCCTTTTTCTGAGAAGAAAGTGTGTTCTTCAAGAATTTTCCACATTTTTAAAAACACTGATAGTTCTTCACTTTGACCATGTGTTTTTACGTTATCCAAATACTAAAATTATAAAAAAATATTAAATCTAAATTTTGCATCCGGATTCAAATGTACACCCATATATTTAAGAAACACAGATGTGTATGCAATAAAACAAAGGATGTTTCTGAATCTTCTATTGTTCTAATCCTTTAATTTCCTGCATAATAACCTTTTTGTCTTTTTTCCCAACTCTTGGCTTCCCTGGAAATGATCTGCTTGTGCCAGGGAAGCTGTGCTGATTTATACTGGCTAAGAAATTAAATCCCTGTTTTCCAGTAACTGTATTCTGTGGATCATTTTTAAAAAAATACTTCCCCCCCCCCCCCTTTTAGTTTATATTTCTGAATTCATTTTTTCCTTTCTTTGAATGAACTTTCTTATACTGAAAATGCCAGACATTGTATATTCATTAATTGCAGTGCTAGTTTCATCCTATATTCCTTCATGAAAAGGAAGAGTGGTGTACTACATAGCAAGAGACTTGCAAGCAAGCTGTCAGGGCCTGAGTGTATTTCTATGCATGTCTTTTGGTATTGAAGTTATTTCTTCAGATTTTTAGACCTTTTTCTTAGTGAAACAAATTCAATAGGCTTTAAAAATTTTTAGGCCTACATCACCACTACTTTACTGCAATAAAATACCAGTGTAATATTCTTGGCATCTTTAATATTATTCCAGCATAAACTTCTAACTGTTATTTTATCAAATTAAGTCTTTATTTTTAGAGACCTTTGTAAAGCAAGGAAACTGTGAGCTTGTGGAGTTTGTGCCATTCAATTGAATATTCATGAAGAAAATTTAGAGTATGAACATTCAGTTCTAATCTGTAGAGTTTTCATTTGAAGTCTTCAACTTATTTTTAAATATGTGCTTCTCATTTAATTAAATATAAAATGAATTGGTATTTCTAACATAATGTGGGTAAAAATCCATCACTCAAAGCTTCACCTAGTGCCCACTGAAATAAATGTGAATTATGTAATCTACATTCCAATGTTTTCATAAAAATGAGTTATGATATTTTGTACTCTGTGTTAAATCTAAATAATCAAGTTGACATATTAAAGTTAAGAATCTTGAGCATAAAATTAAGAATCATGTTAACTTGGAGTCAACAGAAATGAAAAGTGAAAATTACTGTTTCTGACAAAGACTACATCATGTTTCTCTATAGGTTTGTTAGAAAATGTTTTAGACCTCTGCAAATAGATTTAAAAATTGGTAAAATGATAAGAAAAGAGGATACCTAACTGGGTTGGAGACTATTTTATTCCTTAAACACTGCTGGTGACTCTATCCCACAGTTAAAGTATCACTTTAGAAGCTGCATAAACATACTCTTTTCTGCACCTCCTGTGATAATAACACACTGGTACACAGTGAAGCATGCTGTCTCTTCTGTGAAATAGCTGCCATAAGAGTAATAACTGCGAACCCTGATACTAATCCTATTTTTCAGATTATATCTGACACCTCCATATGGGCAACTAAAAAAGTGTAGGAGGGTTGGGATGCTGGAGAACATGCTCAGTTGTGAATCTAGTTTTGTAACAAAATGCAAAGGAAAAGTAAAACAATAAAAAAATACATATTTTTATTTGCATTTTTGTATGGCTGTAACATAAAACAAAACTATACCGTCAAATTCCTCATATGTGCCAGCATCCAAACACAATGCAAAGTTTGTATCAAAGCATAGGTTCAGTTTTTACACACTACATTATTTATCCAGTGGTGTCCTTTAGGCATTACATTTGCTGTTTCTCTCAGTGAGAAAGTTATCCATTTATGAGGGTTTATACTACCATCTAGTGTAATCTTCTGTCTTTTTAATAAAATATTGTCTTGCACATAAGACAAATCCCAAGCCCATGGCTGCTGATATTACTGAATATACTTTGCCTAAAATACATTTGTCCATGTGTTACAAAAAATAATCTTTCCTTGAGGTCAAATATTAGTTAAGTTTATGATTGTGACTTTTCAGCATCAGAGACATGTTTTATTAATTACAAAAACAAGTTTGGATTAAAGTCAAATGGCTGCCCTCCACAATCTTTAATTCAATTAGTGAAGAAATTGCCTGTCTTTACTGAGATAACAGAGGCTTAATTGGTGCCCCTTCCTTCCTTCCTTCAGTATTCTATATGAAAGAGAGAGAGATTAATGTCTGCCAGGAAAGGACATGGAAATCAGAAAGAAAGATGAAGAAACAAGCCACGTTTTAAATGCAGGACCTGCTATTTGACGCTTGAATTAAGGAGCTTTCACACATACTTTGCTGTTTTAATTTTCAGAAGGCAAAGAAAAGGAGACTAGTTTACCCGAGATACTTCTGCATTCCAGTGGGGGACTATTTAGAGTTTAGAGTTTGCCTGTGAGCGTAGGAAGTACACCATGACTGAAAGAAGGAGCAAGAAAGACTATGTAATGAATATATACATAACACATGTAAGGAGGGTTCTGGGAACCAGGATTTTATCTTCCTAATTGATGCACATTCAGGCTGGACTACTATAGTCCCAAGAGGCATTCAAATGAAATCAGTGGGATGTATTCTGAGGTAAGATACACATAGAGGGATGGGCTGAGTTTACTTTTTGACCTGTTCATTACCTCATCAAAATCTAATGTAATAAGAATCATAACGGCACCCAATTCAAAGTCTAGTTAAGCATTTCTTTGGCTTGAAAAGGAAACTGTGCCCATTATCACATAGTGTTTAGATTAATTAGATAATCAGATTAATTTAGATACACATCTAAAAGACTATGGAAAAGAAGGAAAAATAGAAAAGAAAGAAAGAAGGAAAAAAATACTTAGTAAGAAAACCATCCTAGCTTATTTGCACAAATCACTATTTTTGTTCAAAATAGAGGGATAATGACTTCCATCCTAAATTTCAAATATCTGACCCTTCCCATCCTTTTCAGGCTATTATGTCATCAAAATTTCTATAGCTACAGTCATTTTAGAATCTAATAATGACAATTATTTTTTGACAAGAAACATCTGCTTCCTGTCTGGAAGGAGTGTCTGATCATCCTCAGCTTTATCAACTTTCCCAATGTTAATATTAATCCTATCAGGTTTTTTACAAAGACTAATCTGATGATGCATATGCTATCTTACTCTCTGCTAGTGTTTCACTGACTTGTGAAAATCTGCAAAGAAAATACAAAACCTCTGTCTCTCAATTAGGCAGCTCATCATCTTTCTAATTAATTTCAAGGCATGACTTGGCATTTTACTGTTAAAGTGAATTTATTAAAATTATTTTTCACCAGAGAGCACACATGCTTGTAATAGTTGTATTTCCAAATTTTAATACTTTATCTCTAAACTTATCATCTGACTTAGGAGTTGCTGTATATGGTAGCCTCTGACAGGGAATCAGAAGAAATAAATGCAATGCTGAAATGATACCAGAGAAAATAATTTTTATTTGTGCAGCTCAGAGTTTTCCACAATTTTAGTTTCATTTCCTGCATTTCACACTGAGGCAAGTTCACAGTATTTGCAAGGGTGGTGTCTGAAAACTGAAGAGCAAAAACTTTCTGAAAAAGTTTATTAACCTCCCATGGTACTGATCTAAACAAAAATTGCATCTCCTGTATGACATTCTGTATATTGACGTTATAGAAATGCTTGAAAAACTGATATTTCTAAGTGCCAACACAACAGCACAGCAATTTTACTGTAGCCATGAGTGTAAATACCAGCTGTTTACACCGTATGTTATAGTAGATAATAATAAAGATAATCTGATATAGCGTATTTCAAGTCATTGAAAAGAAAATTGAATTTGTAAATTCCTTAGTTTGATGATTTTCAGTGGAATACATACCTATTGAACAATTTCTTTCCTCTAAAAAATGTTCAGAGGAGTAATTTGATGCAAACAAGGTGGATGTTTTGTCTTTAAAAAGGATTAATTCTAACCCTTTAATTATTGGCGATTATCTTTCTTTTAGAGGAACTAATTAATGCCAAGGATTTTCTTTCCAGCAAAATTTTAATTGGAAATGCTCTGAAATGAATGAAAGTCACCCCTTACATTTGTATAATATTGACTCTGTTATTTATGCTCCCAATGTAGTTTTACAATCTTTCCTTTACACTTCTATTTTACTTTTTTCTTTATTTCACCTCTTAATAACACATTTTATAAACTATATCTATTTTAATATATTCATTTGCTGCAGATATTCTAGTGTTCAGTATATGACCTCTTTATTTGTTACTGTAACTACCAGAGGGCTCACTACTAAACCAGATCTCTTTGAAGTGGTTCTGAACTTGCCTGACAACAGTTGCTATTAAGAATTCATACATGAGAATGTGATTTCTGTGGGAACTGATGCATTTTGGTCTAGTTCAGCATCATATCTAAAAGTATAAAACTTGAATTAGTCCAGGTGATTTAGGTTTCATTCTCTGAACCATTGTTTTCTAGCTTTGTAGTATCATATGGGTTTATTTTCCTGGCGGTTTTATACCAAGCTTTTCAAACTAAAGATGATTCCTTG